CACCCTACTTACTAATTCTTGGCCCCAGGCTTTTACGTATGCTTTTCCCTCAGCCTGGGCTTACCGCCCCTGCTTTTCCGGTCTCCACCCCCAACCCGCCCATTCACTTTGTTAAAATGCCCATCCTTTAGGCTCAGCTTCCGCGGTCAACTTCCCCGGGAAGCTTGCCGGAGAAAGACCCAGCGGGGTGGGAGTCCGTGTCCTGTGCTTACTCCCAGCGCCCAGGGACTGCACTGTACCCGATCTAGAGGCGAGGGGCCAGGCAGATCAGAGGTGGAAACACTCCAGTGAGGACAGACACTGTGCTCTGCCTGCTGATGAGTCTCTAGTATGTAGGCCTGGCCAAGAGTAGGAGCTGAATCAATACTCAATAGGTGAACGAACACCTTCCTTCCGTCTGCAGCCAAACCCCTGCAGGAACTAGGGAGAGGGGGAACTAGGGTGCCAACAAGATGCTTCACACTCAGGATTTAAGAAGGCTCCTGTGCTCCTCCCAGCCTGGTACCAAAGGCAGCGGGTGCTTCAAAAACAACTGCTGTGAGGTGAAAAGATGAAGGGACAGAAGACTGAAAGGAAGGAGTTAATCACATTTACTGATTGATAAATAGGGTAAACAGACAAGTCCATAGATCTGGGCCAGGATGCCCCCGAATGCTCCCTGCCTGCGCTCTGCTGGGGTGTGCAGAGATGGGCAGAGGCACTCTTTCTGGGTAGGAACCAGGAAGGAGCCAGTCCTGGGCCACGGTGCTCAGGTCCCCTGAGGTGTTCTGTCCAGCTGGGCTATGGCTGGGTGGCATCAGCCTAAGCCATGACCAGTCCTGGGGTCCCGCCCCATCATTCTCTGTCAGCTTGGGCCTTGGGTGCAGTGGTCTGCCTGCCTGCCCAGCCATATAGATGACCTGGATGAGAAAGTGTAGGTGACCCCAGCATGGGGCTGAGGAGGAATCAGGCAGTGAGGTGGGTGTGAACACGGGCCAGAATTAGAGCCCAGGGTGACAGATGGGCAGTGGGGCCCGTGGAAAGCTGACAGGCTCAGATGATACAGTGCTCCTGGGCCTTCTCTCCCAAGTAGAAGCGGCTGAAGAGGAAGGGGCTCAAGTCAATGGTCTGGAAGCGGCCCTCCAGCACCATCTCTGCCACTGCCCGCCCCACGGCAGGGGCCTGCTGGAGCCCGTGGCCACTGAAGCCCGTTGCAAAGTACATGTTGACGACCAGGGGGTGGGGGCCCACCACGCCATTCTGGTCAAAGGTGTTGTAGTCATAGTAGCCAGCCCAAGCACTCTTGACCTGCAAGTGCACAAGACGTGGGGTTCTCAGGGGGCTGCCGAACTGCGCCATCTCACTCCCGGTCAGGGTCTGCACACAGCACCCTCCACCACTGCTGAGGGGGTGGACAGGATGGGTCCTCAGCAGATGTAGGGTGGAGGCACTGAGGTGTGGACAGGCTGTCCAAGGGCACCGAGACGTCCCAGTGCCAGCCATCTCCTTCCAGTTACCTTGAGAGTCTCGAAAGCTGGTACCCTCTGGGCCAAAAGGGGCCACACCTTATCCTGGAAGAAGTCGTGGTCCACTTCCAGGTTCCTTGGGTCCGGTTCCTCTTCCTGGGGGGAGAGGTGGGCACAAGGCTTACACTGCCTGTGACACAAGGGCAGACCCAGATCTCACTGACCCCTTGAATCAGTCCCCTTGTAGGTGGGGGATATGGGGGGGGAGTCCCCATTTCCAACCCAAAAGGGACTGCTACATCACTACCAGTGCCAGGCCTTCCAAGGAAGCCTGACCCCTCACTGAAACCCCCGTCCCCCTCCTGGCACCCTGACCCATGGAGCTCACCGCAGTGGGACTGCAGCCGCCCAGGTAGTTGTTGCCTAATCCATCTCGGCGGAAATAGGCTCCACTGGGGTCTGCAAGGAGCGGAGCCTCCAGGCCTGGCCCCTGGGGGCAGTGCCACAGGTACACGTACCTGCCGTGACCAGCGGTGTTAAGAAGCAGTGGGGACAGCAACCCCTCCCCGACTCTCTTCTCATCACCCCCTCAGCTGCCTCAGGGTTAGGGGTGGTGTCACCTTTTCCTCGGCTCCACGGGCAGCTTGGTGCCCTGTAGGGTGCCAGGTGGCCCCTTCCCAATACCAGCCAGCTCTGCGATTTGCCCAGACCAGGCCCCCGCTGTGTTGACCACTATGGCACATTCCACAGGCTGGTACTCCTGGCTGTGGTCCACCTTGACCTGTGGGCACCAGAGGGAGAGCAGAGGGAGGGCCTGGCCCATGCACCGGGCACCGGGAGGGGTACCTTTCTTCCTGAGCCTCAGTTTCCCCACACTGGAAGTAGGTCAAAGAAGGTCAAAATGACAGTCACCGCCTTCCTCATCTCTGCATTTTGGTAAAGGAGGTCCTTAGGCTGGGAACTTACGTGGACTTCGTGGATCTTTTTCAAAATCACCTCCTCCCCACTTGGGGTCTCCGTGCGGTCAGATGAAGAGACAAAACCTGCAGGAAAAAGAAAAGAAATGAAGCCTCTGAGGCCTTGAAGAGGAAGAAGATGGGGGCTTCACTGGTTTCACAAGGAAGGTGAGCTGGAAGGCAGGGAGCTTTCCCACAGACACTGAAGCACACAGAGATGGGGCAACTGGGATGAACTTGGCTGCCCAGGACAGGAGAGCTGTCCAAAGCTTCAAGCAGATCACAAGTCACAGAGAATCCTGGTCAGGAGCTAGAGTCAGGATGCCTGGGACCAGCTCTCAGGGAGAACCCCCTGCCCCCACCAGCCCTGCTCAGTGTGTGTGTGATGGTAAGACCTGGTCTAGGCTGGCCCTGGCTGGCAGGGGAAACAAGTGGGAACGCGGGACCTCAGACGCACGTGTCACCTCTCCTTGGCAGAAAAGGACCCCCATGGACTGGACCTTTCGCCGAAGCCCCTGGAGCAGTGACCAGGGGTCAAACCAACCTTCGTTCTCCAGCCCTGTAAGGAGAACGAGGACTCGTGAAGAGGGGCTAGGACTCGCCCCTCCTGCGGTATTTCCTGCCACTTTCACTCTTCTTTAGGGCTTGTAAGCTGGGGAAGCTCATATTGACCAACTGCACCAGAGTCAAACCCCATGGAAGGCCAGAGTGCTAGCATGGCCTTGGGGAGGCCCTGCTGGCCAGGAGGGACGTGTTCCTCCTTGATGAGGCTGTGGGGTGCTGAGACCTCCAACCTGAGGCGCCCCTCAACCCCTGACCCCTCTGCAAACATGCCTCACCATAAGATGCCAAAGCCACTCCCTCTGTGTTTATCCAGGGAAACTTGTTCCGAAGCTGCTCTGGAGACATCAGACAAACTTTGGCTCCTTCCTGCCTGGAGAAATGTGTGGGTCTGTGTGTGTGTGGTGGAGAGGGTGAGTGTGCAGAGGGAGTATGGGCCCCAACTCCACAAGTGGGGGCTCCATGCCATTCACGTCACTCCTCCACCCCAAACCCCCCTTGCTGCCTGGGCTAAGACCAAGCTCCATCTTCAGCATCTGACCCGCTTCCCTTCCTATAGCCTGGCCTCCCTTTGGCCACACTGAACGTCTTGTCACCCCATCACTGTTCCACATCCTTTCACAACAGGACAGGTCATTTTGTTCCCTCCACTCCTGCCTGGGACGGCCTTCCTGTCCACTTCCTAGTACAACCCTGTTCACCAGCACAACCACCTCCTCTGGGACCCTAATGCCCAGAAGTAGCCTTGTAGGTGCTGAAAGAGCACAGCCCCGACCAGACTGCCTGGTTCAAGTCCCAGGGCCACCACTTACTAGCTCTGGGTGCCTCCGTTTCATCACATGTAAAGTGGGGATGTTCTGATGATTAAATGAGTTACTATCGGGAGTGCATTTAGGACAAGACCTGATGTTATTAGTGAGATTTGTGGAAGCGTCTGTTAAAGGTGCCTGCCCTTGACTGGTCATGAGACCCACTTGAGGTGGGGCAGGCAAGTCAGGCGCCAGCCTGTCTCTTACACGAGCCCTGCTCCTTTGCTTGCTTTTTGTCTGTGGCTGCCTTTGTGCTTCAGGTGCAGAGTTGAGTGACTGCAACAGAGACCGTACGGCCTGCCGAGCCTGCAAGTTCTACTCTCTGGCTCTTACAGAAGAAGTTTGCTGATTCCTGGGCCCCGCCCTGGAGACCCTGACTTATTAGGTGGGGCGTGTTCTGGGAGGCTGTCACCGCCCGGCAGTTTAGGAACCACAGCACAGTGCTCAGTCCGCGTCTGTATCACAGCACTTAGCACTGGGGATTGGAAGCCTCCCCGTGTCTGTCGTTCCTGACAGACTGAGCTCCCAGAGAGTATGGCCTGTCTCCTCAACTGTCGTCCCGGTTCCCCAAACCACTGCGTGCGTGCAGCTGGGCAGCAGCGTGGAGCCACGCCAGGTGCCCACCTCTGCACTTTCACGTTGTTTTCCATGGTCGCCGCACCCTTCTCTGAAGCCAGAAAGAGGTAGCCGGAGGGGTTGAACCGGAGGTCCAGGGGAGGATCATCGACCACAGCCAGGTACTCCTGTGTGCAAAGCAAAGCTCCTCGAAGAAGCTGACTTCAGGAAGAGAGGGAGCGCTTCCCCGGCTTTCCCAGCACAGCCTCCGGGCTCGGTGCCCCAGCCCTGAGAGAAGCCCTCTCCAGGCACCACCACTGGGAAGAAAACCAGGGGTGCCAACTCCTAGCTGCCTGACCCACTCCTGCTCCATGTTCCCCCAGCTAGCTGGGCTGCTCCTCTCTCTGGGCTAAAGAAGGGGTCACCACCCCACCACCAAATTTCACTGCACGTACATTGATGTTGCGCAGAAATTCGACCGAGAAGAGGGAAAGCTGGATGTTCTCCGGCAATGAGAACTGCTGACGAATCCCGCCCACAGACAGCACGGTGGAGGCCTGGGAATACTGTGGAAAGACAAGGGAAGTCGAGGGGGACCCTGTCACACGTGAGCAGGATACTGTAACGGAGGGTGTCACATACCCCGAATTAAAGGGGAGTCCTATTTGCAAGTTTATGATCTAAATTTGCATAAACTCATAGAATAAGCCAACCCGTGGCCCAGAGGACAACAGTTATTAAAATCCTTATTAGCAGATGTGCAGAGCAGAGAGGGTCAGTCCTCGAAAAAGGGCTGGGCACTGTCGGACAAAATGGTAAAGGCCCGGAAGTTGAAGGCAGGAGACTGACATTTGCTCTACTAATTAGAACACAGAGGGATCTGGCCAGAGTAGCAAGATTCATGACTAGCTGGCAGTATAGAAACAACCAAAGTGCAAAAACCTCAGAAGTAACGCAGCCTAAAAGGGGGCTGTGATAGCTGTTTGTGTGAATTATAGCTTGAATGCAGGCCAGACCTGTGAGATCTCAAAAGCTCCAACATTGTGAAATTTGTTTTCAGAAGCAAAAACCTTACTGTCAAGGTCCCTAGTTTGAGTGAGGAAGAACCTGGGACTATTTCTCAACAAAGTCCAAAGCACAGACCCGGCCCTTTGGACCTTCAAAGATTGAGGTCTTTCCTCTCTCCCCCCTTCCCCTGTCCCTAGAGTCCTTAGTGAAATAAGAGTCTGTGCCCGACTCCTGACTCTGCCCTACCCCAGATCTCACCGTGTGGTCCCGTTCCACCACCAGCACCTTAATGGCACCTCGCTGCTTCTCCAACCTCTTCAGCCAATAGGCCACAGACAGGCCAAGCACCCCACCCCCCACAATCACCACATCTGAGTGTTCAGGGGGCAGGTGGCTGGTGTCATACAGTGGATTCCAGGCCCCTCCGGGAATGACAGACTGGATCTTCTTCTTAATCTCGGACACCTTTCCATCCCATTCTGTGGGATGCAGTTATGGTCAAAGAGGGCCAGACATTTCCTTTCCAGGAGGAGGGGGGTCAGAGGATGAGCACAGGAAAAGGTGGGCTAAAATGACACTGAGGTGGCAGTCCTCACTGTCATCCCTTCTCACAAGGTCACCCTGCACCCAGCAGCGTCCCACAGCTTTGCTTCGTGGTCTCTATGACAGAGTCCCTCTTCCTTTGCATGCATTATGCCCAGCACTGCAAGATTCAACTTCCTAAAATTAACACTCTCTACTCTTTCCCTAGGCTAGGGGAACTTACACATATTTTTCTCCTGTGCAGACCCTTCTCTCCTCTGAGCCCAGGCTCCTGGACCAAGAGGTCCTGGCACACCCCAAGCTGCACTGCCCACTGAAGCATGGTACCTCTGAGTGGTACCTTATCCTGGATATCCGTCACAACCATCAAACCTACATGCATGTCCCATCTGTTATCAAGTCCTGATGACTTTGCCTCCTCAGTATCTCCCCAACCTATCCCCTTTTTTCTCATCTCTACCACCACCACCCTAGACCAAACCACGATAATCTCTCCTAGACTGGCAAAATCTCCTGTTTCCACTCATTCTCCTCTTGCCCACCCCACCCCCTGACTTCTTTTCTATATCACAGCTAGAATGATCTTTTCTAAACACCAATTTAACTGCACACCCTCTTGCTTAAAACCCTCTGTTGGCTTTCCCTTACTCTAAGGATTAAAGTCCAAAATCTTTAACCTGGCCCATGAGACCCTGTGCGCTCTGGCTCCCGTTCACCTTATCCTCCCTGCACACTCCAGTCCCAGCCCCTTCATTCCCACCCCAGGGGATCCACATGGATATTCTCTCTGCTCTGAAACTCTGTGTCCACTTCTTTGCCTAGTTAACTCCTTGCTTCCATTAGATCTCAGCTCAGTTATCATATTTCTCAGGGAAGCCTTTCCTGACCCCCCAGACTATGCCAAGTTCTCCTGTCACGCTATCTCATAGCTCTGTGAACCACTCTTGCAACTTTGAGTTTATCTGTGATTGCTTCCTGCTGTACTATGTCTACCCTCTCCACTGAATCTCCAGCCTAGCACAGTGCCTGGCACACCCTAAATGCTCAATGTCTTGAATAAATGAATCCTTTTGTTTTTCATCCCTAACACACAAATCTCCAAGTCTTCCGTCTCCAATTCAAAGTTCCATCTCTTCTCAGTAGCATTCAAATCTTTCTTTGATCTTAATACATTTCACGCTACTGCTAACTCTCTATCGAGATGGACTTTGCTAATTCCTTGCACAAGAACATTTTTTTCCCCTTCTAACCTTGCTCAGTTCTCCAGAGCCTGGAACTCATGCCTTCTTTGAACCAGTAAACATCGGCTTTCAAGGTTGATCTCAGTTCCCACCTGCTGCATGAACTTCTACAATTACGCTAGCTACTGGCACTAGCAGTGCAGGGCAACCTACAAGTTGGGTTCTACCCAGTGTTGGACTGTTCTACTGAAGCCTCCCCTCTTCAGGCACCTGCAGAGCATACATCGAATCGTCTCTTTCTCTGCTCCCTCCTTCACAGCCACAACACTAAGAGCAGCACCCTGCACGCGAGCAGGACTTAATGCACATCTAAGCAACCAGTGAATCAGCCTTGCTGTTATTCTGGAGGAAAGGTGAAGCGTAGAATGACCTGGGAATTGTTACCTGAGAAGGGCAACCTTGGCATTTATACATCTGCCCAGGTCTTACAAGCTCCGGTAGGCAAGGTTACCCCCTCCTCCCAGCGAACCACTGTCTTCCCTCCGTGGGCTGGGCCCCCAAGTCCTGAAGGTCTGGATATAGCTGGAGATTGGGGGCACCCAAGAACCACGATACCCTCCGCTGCCCTCCACTTTACCCAGAGTAGAGACTCCTCTGCGTGTGCCTAGCCCCAGGCCCAAGAGGCCCCGGCCCCAGCCGAGCCACAGTGCCCTCCGAAGCATGGCCCTGCTGCGCCTGACAGGTCTGAGAGGGCCGCCTCACACCAATAGCGTCCTACCCTCACGTCACTGCTTCGCGCCGCCGGCCGTTCAGGCGGGCGCGCCCATTGGCCAGCCTTCCCCTCCGGACCCCGCCCCTCCGCCCTATAGGCAGCCGTCCTCTCCCGTGACTCCCCAAGAGCCCCGCCCAGCCCGCCCCCTCCCTCCATTGGCGAGCCCGGCGTCTACGTCAGTCCTGCGCGCCCTGGGGTGGAGCGGGGGAGGGTCTCCCGCGGCGCCGAGCGGAAGTGCGGCTGAGCCGGTTTCCGGGGCCACTGGTGTGACGTGTCCCGCGCTTGACGCAGCAGGAAGCGGCGGCGATCGCGGCCTGAGTTCCCGGCGCCGGCCCGGCTCCTCTCCCGCTGCCGCCATGCTCGACTTCTTCACCATTTTCTCGAAAGGCGGGCTCGTGCTCTGGTGCTTCCAGGGCGTGAGCGACTCATGCACCGGGCCCGTTAACGCGTTGATTCGTTCCGTGCTGCTGCAGGTACCGCCCCCGCGGGATCAGAACTCTGGGCGTCCCCCTGACCTGGTCCATAGTCCCCTCGACTGACCCCGCGCCTCCCTCCCACCCCGTCGGCCCACCTCAAACTGGTCCCTAAGTCGTAATCCGGACCCGACTTCTTTCTCCCGCCCCCGTCAGACCCTCTCGCAACTTTGCGACGTCCCCTCCCCCTCCGCTTTCTGGGACTCTGGCCTGATTCCCTATCCTATTGAGACTTCCCATCGTTCCCTCCACTCACTCCCAGCAGCTTGGTTCTCTGTCATTTCGAAGGCTGGATGAGATAATGGATGGAAAAGCGTCTTTGAAGAACTGTAGATAGTGTACAGCTGCTAATAAATCCGATTGTTTATATGAGGACTACTTTCCTTCCGGCTCCACGTGTGCTTCCTTCCCACCTCCTTCCCCCTCCCCCCAGCTTGGTGTCTCCTTTTTTCCCTGGTGTAGTGCTGGAGAGCAAGCAGTCCCCGCGCATCTTCTCGCCCTGGGAACAGATTTGACTTTGGGGGAATGTCTAGTTATTTCTCAAAGGTAATCCTGAAGGCGTCCAAGTTTATGTTTCGTGGTGATGGTCCGAACTCTGAGATACACTCTTTTTCCAGGAAAGGGGAGGTAACAACTCCTTCACCCATGAGGCACTTACACTCAAGTACAAACTGGACAACCAGTTTGAGCTGGTGTTTGTGGTAAGTGGAGATATTTTAGAGGGGCATGAATACGTTTGCAACACAGTCCTGATTATTAGGAGAATCCTGATGAATTGCATCCAGTGTATATGATGAAGTAACTGAGAAGATAGGGAGGGTGGAGGGGGAAAGGGAGGAAGCTCTTGGGCCCAGTCAGAGAGCTTGGCTGTTCCTCCGGTCGGGGCAACCTGCCAAGTGGCTGAGCCAATCTCTGGAGGCCTGGGTTGAGTTGGCTTGCCTCTGTTCTGGGCTGGCATGTAAGCAGATCTGTTGGCTCTGTTTATTTCCCTAAACAGGTTGGTTTTCAGAAGATCCTAACACTGACGTACGTAGACAAGTTGATAGATGATGTGCACCGGCTGTTTCGGGACAAGTACCGCACTGAGATCCAACAGCAAAGTGCTTTAAGTCTATTGAATGGCACTTTTGATTTCCAAAATGACTTCCTGCGGCTCCTTCGGTGAGAGGCCTCTCCCTTCAAAACCAGTTTCCATGACTTGATGAGCTCCCTCCTTCCCGAGGGCAGTTCAAGTGTAGTAAATTGTGGCTCGAAGGACACTCCTGAGCTTGCTGCTCAGTTCTGATTGTCCTCTTGGTGTAAGGGCCATGTCTCTGGATTTGGACTATCCTTTTTTCTCTTTAGTGAAGCAGAGGAGAGCAGTAAGATCCGTGCTCCCACGACCATGAAGAAATTTGAAGATTCTGAAAAGGCCAAGAAACCTGTGAGGTCCATGATTGAGACACGGGGTGAAAAGCCCAAGGAAAAGGCAAAGAACAGCAGAAAAACCAAGGGGGCCAAGAAAGAAGGTGAGTTTGAGCTTGGACGTCCTGGGGCCTGAGAAGTCGTCAAGGACTGAAGTGGTCCCTGTCCTTCCTCTGTCATTGCTTGCCTCCCTCACTTGGGGGCCTGCCACCCTCACTGTCACCTCCAGTCCTTGTCATCCCTAAGATGTTTGCTCCTAGATGTTTCCTCAGTACGACTTGGAACACTTTTTCCCATTTGTTTATTTTGTTGGGATTTGGTCCTTCTTTTTTCAGTGAGTTTTCTCCTTGATAGGTTCTGATGGCCCTTTGGCTACCAGCAAAGCAGTCCCCGCAGAAAAGCCAGGTCCAGTGGGGCCTGAGAATGGGGTGGAACTTTCCAAAGAGGAACTCATACGCAGGAAGCGAGAAGAGTTCATGCAGAAGCACGGGAGGGGTATGGAGAAGTCCGGGTGAGCATCCGAGCTTGCACCATGAGTACCGTTATCTAGACACGCTGGAGCGAGAGTTCTCGTCTCTGACTCTTGGGTGGATGTTTCCTCTCCCATTTCTCCACCATAACCCTTTGTGCTGTAACCCTTTGCAGTAAGTCTGCAAAGTCAGATGCTCCCAAGGAGAAGGGCAAAAAAGCGCCCCGGGTGTGGGCACTGGGTGGCTCTGCTCCCAAGGAAGTCTTGGACTACAGCACCCCCACCACCAACGGAGCCCCCGAGGTGGCCCCGCCTGAGGACATCAACTTGGTAAGAGGCAGCAGGGGCCAGAGTGAAGGCTACCATTAGTAAGAAACGGGGGAGGAAGTGGAGATGAGGAAGGTGGCACCCTTGATTTCTTGGAGTGAGGGGGTGAGTCACACTTGGAGCTTCCCAAATCACAAAGGGAGAGCAGAGCAGGCAGGGCGAATCCTGGGCTTTTCTCCCTCACAGAGCCCTTAGTGTCCCTGACCCCACCTCCTTCCTTTCCCTACACCCTCCAGATCCGAGGCACTGGGCCTGGGGGGCAGCTCCAGGATCTGGACTGCAGCAGCTCAGATGACGAAGGGACGGCTCAAAACTCCACCAAACCCAGGTAGGGGGTTTCAGGTGGTGGGTGGTACGTGCAGCTGCAGAGCTGACGGGCCTGGACCCCTGCACTCTGGCTTTTGTGCATCTGTACTCTCCTATGCCTGCAGTGCTACCAAGGGGACTCTGGGTGGCATGTTTGGGATGCTGAAGGGCCTTGTGGGTTCCAAGAGCTTGACTCGTGAAGACATGGAATCTGTGCTGGACAAGATGCGTGACCACCTCATTGGTGAGTCTGCCGAGCAGGTGGGCTCGTGTTTATGGGGTAGGGATGGCGTGGGGTGGTTTCTCAGTGGTACCGTGAGGGTCATTCACTGCTGATGTGGCACTCACATCGCACCTGTCCCCCCTCCTCAGCTAAGAATGTGGCAGCCGACATTGCAGTTCAGCTCTGTGAGTCTGTGGCCAGCAAGCTGGAAGGGAAGGTGATGGGGACGTTCAGTAGTAAGTACCTCCCTCAGCCAGAAGTGCTTAGGTAAGGCGTTATCCAGGAGGCTTCCACTAGACCTCCGTTCTTACTTAGGTGTGTGATTTTTGACAAATTCCATAACCTCTAATCTATTTCATAGCTTAGACTGTAGGTGTTAATAACATCTAAATTAGAAGAATTGAATGAGTTAATACTTGTAAAGTGCTGTCGGGTATGGTGTGGATTCCCGGGCAGACTCCTAGTTCCTTAAGCTCTGAGTCGTTCTGGGCGTCCTCGGAGTATGTTATTTGGGTTTCATGGATCTGCCTCCTCCTCCCCCTTTCAGCGGTGACTTCCACAGTAAAGCAAGCTCTTCAAGAGTCCCTGGTGCAGATTCTGCAGCCACAGCGCCGCGTAGACATGCTCCGGGATATCATGGACGCCCAGCGTCACCAGCGCCCTTACGTGGTCACTTTCTGCGGCGTTAACGGCGTGGGGAAGTCCACTAACCTTGCCAAGGTCAGTGCAGTTCCCCAGTTCATCTCTGACGTTACTCTTCCCCATTTCCTAGCCTCTGGGTCCAGGTGACAGTTTCTTTTGCCATTTTCAGATTTCCTTCTGGCTGTTGGAGAATCGCTTCAGTGTCCTCATTGCGGCCTGTGATACGTTTCGCGCTGGGGCTGTGGAGCAGCTGCGGACGCACACCCGGCGCCTGAGCGCCCTCCACCCCCCGGAGAAGCACGGCGGCCGCACCATGGTGCAGCTGTTCGAGAAGGGCTACGGCAAGGATGCTGCCGGCATTGCCATGGAAGCTATTGCCTTTGGTACAGTGCACAGCAAGCGCGGAGCTGGTCTGGGCCCCGTTCTTCCTTGGTTTGTCTTGGAACTTGGAGAGGACCAGGGTTACCTACCACCAACTTACTGCTCAGAAACGGGTCAGCCTTAGTGACATGCTCTGCTCTGGGGTCCCAGGTGTAGTTACAGGCAAGGCTAACGTATCCCAACCAGAGAGGCCTCTCCTTGGTCACCTTTATCCTACTGTCATCCTTCTCCTAAATGTGCCTGGTGGCCGAGCATGGGAGTTTTTTCTGATTTTACATGAACTGGTAGGTCACCTGGAGCCCGAGGAAACAGGCTTTTAAGATGGCCAGTCTGGGACTCCTTCAGGGCAAGCTGGAAATGAGCGCAGTAATCCAGATTTGAGCTGAGCGCTTTTTTTCTCTCTAGCACGAAACCAAGGCTTTGATGTGGTGCTGGTGGACACGGCGGGCCGCATGCAAGACAATGCCCCTCTGATGACTGCCCTGGCCAAGCTCATTACTGTCAACGCGCCCGACTTGGTGCTGTTTGTAGGGGAGGCCTTAGTAGGCAATGAGGCTGTGGACCAGCTGGTGAGGGCTAGAGCCTGGTTCTGTTTCCAGCCTCAGCCTTGGCCACTGTAGCAGGAGCACTGACATGTTTCTCCTTTCCAGGTCAAGTTCAACAGAGCCTTGGCTGACCATTCTATGGCTCAGACGCCTCGCCTCATTGATGGCATTGTCCTTACCAAATTTGATACGATTGATGACAAGGTAAGTATGGACATGGGGCAGAGTGGGGCTGGGAGGGAGACGGCCAGCCTTCACAAGGGAGCAGTTGGCTCCAAAGCCTTCTGTTGCTGAGGGAGTGGCAGGGAGTGGCCTGGAGCTGACTGGGGATCCTTTTCTCCCATTCAGGTGGGAGCTGCTATTTCTATGACCTACATCACAAGCAAACCCATCGTCTTTGTGGGCACTGGCCAGACCTACTGTGACCTACGCAGTCTCAATGCCAAGGCTGTTGTGGCTGCCCTCATGAAGGCTTAACATGGCTTTTGCCCAATACCAAATCACCGCTTCCCCCCAAAGCCCCCATCCCTGCATCAAGACTGTGCTTCAGAGTATGTGAGCGACTTGTCTTCAGTGTAGTTCAAAGGCAGAGCAAGGGGAGCTCCAGGGGCTTCCAGCTAGGTGGAGCTCCTAACCCCACTCCCTGTTCAGCCCAGCCTCCACCTGCAAGGAGGGCCTAGTCATGTTAACAATCACTGCCCGGTGCCCCCCCACCCCGGTCCTCCCTGTTCCTACTCAGGCATCCCTTCACTCTGCCTAGAGACTCGGTCTCATTACAGCTTTGACCAATGGTTAGAAGATCCAACACCAGAGCTTGGCTACTTAGGAATTAGGGAATGTCCGAACATTGTTGCCAGCTCTGGGCCTTGAGTGGCACCTCTCCCCTAGGATAGTCTTCAGGTCCCTGGGGCCAGGATGACACCCCACATGGTGGCAGTGTATGGCCTGTTCTTAATTGCTGCTAACTCGCTGATGACCCCTCTCCCCGTTTACCCAAAGCATCAGCTAGGCCAGAGAGGTGCTGCAGACGGGTGAAAGGGCAGTCCCCGCTTCCTCGGAAACACAGGGAGCCGAGCTGCAGTGCTGCAAGGGGCTTCTCAGCCTCCCAAACCACCTCCCATTCTGAGAATCCAGACATAACTTTGCATGTTCCCTTTCCTGGGAGAAAACCAGCTGTCAGAAGGGGATACACGTGGCCCCCAGCCCCTTCTTCACCTGAGCAGTTCCTGGCTTTTCCTCCTCTCTACAGTGCCTGGTAGACAAGTGCTACGTTGAAGAATACGAACCTTGTTGAGACTTGTCCGGTAGCTTGGTATTACAGACGTGCTATTAGTGCAATAAGGTGAAGGCTGTCTGCCCAGAGAAATACATAATTTATATAAGAAAATAAATTTCATAAATAAACCGCCTTTTAGGTCTTGGGAGTTACTTTATAGAGGACTGGGAACTAAAATCCCTCCTCGCACTAACTCTAGCTCTAGGACGTATGGTAAGAAAGGAAACACCGGATGGATGCTGAGGGATCTGGTAAAACGAGTGGTTCTGAGAACGAGACCGCCCTGCTCCAAGGTGGGAAAACACAACCTGGAAGATTTAAACTGAGTTGTGAACATGAGGCTGGTCAGTGCTTCTGCAGGTCAGGCGATCTCTAAAGTGATTCTAGAAGTAGAGCCGGGGCCCTGGGAAGTAAACGAACAAGCTTTTAATACAGCTCAATTATGTAAAATACTGTACACACTGTAAAAGGTCTAGAAAACTAGAGCTTCAAGTCATGTTTTAAAAAAGCCATTAAGCTTAATTGAAAAACCAAGTCGAGAGTACAAAACCGCAGCCAGGGCCACGGCCAGTCCATGGCGTCCAGATCCCAAATCCTTCACGCAGCGCCACAGCCACAGTCAGCAGGGGGGTCCTGTGACCTGCTCTGTGGACACAGGGTGCCAGCCGGGGGTGGGGCGGGGGCTGCACCTGGGTCACTGGGTATGCTTGAAAGGGAACGCCAAGAACCAGCCGGCACGAGGGCTAGGCAGGACCTGCCCCCCGACACCGCCCTGGCCCCGGCCTTCCACCTCCGGGCTGCGGTGCTTCCTGGGAGCTGCTGTGGGTTCTTGTACGTTTGCCTGTTAAACACTGTCCACGGCGGCCCTTACAGCTTGGTCTCAGGGTGGCGAGTCCTCTAGTCCTCATGTACTATGGTCTGTGGAGAGAGAAAAGGCAGAGAATACAGTGAAGCTTCAAAGAACAGGGCTACACACCTAAAGCTGCAGGTACTCGAGCTCAGCCCTTCAGGAGACAAGGCATGCAAGAAACCAGGGATCTTGTCACAGAGGTGACGGGGACACAGGCTCAGTAACAGGTAAGGGAGGGAAGGAGTCACTATTCTTCAAGGTGTTAGGCTCAGGAGAACACTTTCTGCTCACAGACTGACAAGTAGAACTGGAAATACCATACCTCTCACTTCACTGTGTGCTGCAGAGGAGCCATTTAGCTGACCTTCTCTCACCACCCCTGCTAAACGGAACACACATCAGTATCAGATACTAGACTGAAAAGCTAAAACTTAACAGCAGAAAAGAAAAGAACCAACTGAAGGGAGATGAAAACACAAGGTCTGACTAAGAAGGGTGGCAGGAGGAGGAGGTGGGGAGAATAAACTGGGTTAGTTTTTGCACTGCTGTATCAAGTAACAGGGATGCGCTGAGGTCCCTGAGTGCGCTAACATTCCTGGTGAGCAAAACAAAAGTGTGCTTGCCGTCCCTAACTAGTCTAGAAGGCCAAGTTTAGGTTCAAAAAATTACTGCAGCCTGGGATAAGAAGCCACACACAGGTGGGCAAATTCAACCAAGCATAAGAGTGAACAGCGGCAGACATCCCACGGGATAAGATGGGTTTCCAGGATACGGTGCAATTGGCCACATGCCGCTGTTTTAAGAATTCTCTTCCTCAGTCACACTAAGCACATTTCAGATGCTCAACAGCCACGTGTGGCTTGTGGTTACAGTACTAGACAGTGAAGATTATAAAATATTTCTCATTGTAGGAAACTATCGGACAGCACTGGGATAGACAAGGTGTAGGAAGAAGTTTGAAACCAAATATATGGAAGAAAAAAACCAGCAAAAACAGCAATCAGAAATATGTCCAATTAGAGTATAAATAAAAGACACAAGTTAGTACGCCCCTTTTAGAAAAAGCACTTCAGCGATGCTTCTCAACCACTAAAACGTTCTTCCTTTGACCAGTAAATACACTGAGAGTGCATCCTAAGGAAATGAGGCAAGAGGGAAAACTGTAGTGATGACGATGCTGTTCACCGCAACAGTGCTCACAACACGAAAAACCAGGAAAAACCTAGAAACTCCTAACTTAGGGGAATAATTAGGTAACTGGCATCCACACTGGATTTTAGTCGTTAAAAACACTGGTTATGAAGACTGCAGCTATGTGGGAAAATGTATACTGCATCACTGAATAAAAGAAGTACCAAGACTATGTATACTTTGTTTACAACCATGAAGAAATGCTTAGGGAAAAGTGCTGACCGGAAATGGACCAAACTTACTGCTTGTAGGACACTAATGAATTTATACGAGAATCATTTGCTTTTCACAATTACTTGATTTTTCTGAAATAAACGTACTCGGCTCCCACAGAATCTTCTGAACCCAAGTAATGTTCACTATGCAAAATAATAAAATTAGGAATTATTTTGCTTGAGCCTTCTGGTCAGCTGATATAATCTTCTGATTTTTCACTCATGTTTCACTTCTTTTATCTTGCTCTACAACCAAAATTCCAAATCGTTTGAAATAGAGAATGTTTTCTTAAAAATAAGAAAGTGCAGAGCAAAATGCCAGGCACACAGCAAAAGCTCAGTGCTAAAAACAACAGCAGCAAAAGACCTCCGCCCTCTCGTCAGTATTTACCTACAGAGACTCAGAACATAACCAAGAATGGAAGATAAGCTTGACTTGTCTCAGAATGAAAACACGTTTTTAACCTAAAACTGCTCTGCTAGATTTCCGATCACAAACTCGGCTGACCATTCTAATAAAGCCCCCGGCCACGCTGCAAATCCTTGATTTTTAAGAATCCGTGGTAGCCTAATGAGTGGTAACTTTGGGGAAAGCCGCTCTGCTATGATGCTACGCAGCTAATGAGAGAATCCATGCGATACCACGATACTTGTGATGATTTTGTCAAGAAGACTTAGGATTTAGTGTAACAGGAACAGCGGTCTGGCAGGATTTCGTTCTTTTCAACTTTGGTATCCTCCCGGGGTGGACGATCTCTGAACGTAGATCAAAAGAAATACGTAGAGCTTGGGTACGTGCTCCTTGCCCAGTGGAAAAGCCCGCTGAAAGTCTGATGTGTGGGCAAACACCAGAAAACATAACCCCGAGAAAGAGTAACAAATTGTTTTCACAAAAGAGATAAACTGAAAAGATCTGATTTTTTTAAGGTTTTTTTTAAAAAAGCTTTCTGGAGAAAGGGTAGATCTAGTTTTCAGTGTTTGGTTATGGTGATGCCTTTTACAAATCTTCCATCAAAACACAGCCATGGATAATAAGAGCTTGCGGAATTTCTCATCACAGGAGAATCCCACTTGAAGCAACCCGATTCAGAAAAGAAACCTGGGAACGATTATTGGGTACAGGACCAGTTCTCTCTGTATTAAATTCCCTGTACTTTAATAGGCCCTCTAAGATACATTCAGAATGACAATGAAAAGGCATAGACACACACTTTTTAAGAACATATTCTACACAAGGGGGATTTCTGGGTCAAAGGTTTTAAAATGTTCAACATGCTCCAAATCTCCCCTTCAGAAAAGCTGTACCAACTCTACCTTCCCACTGACACTATGTGAATGTATTTCTTTCCTGACAGCCTTGACCTCTAAATCCACACTGCACCTCACTGATTAGTCTACCCTGCAGACTAGCCACGATCTCCCTTCAGTCCGGTTAGGACTCTACTCCTCATCCTGGCAATGACGTTACCCCCGCTTATCTCAAACGCCTCTCACCTGATCCTCCCCGCGTGGAGATCTCACACGTTAGCCGCTTGAAGTACTCCGGAAGGTCGGCGTATTCATTTCCATAGGAGATGACCTTAATCCCTTTGTCCAGCATGTTTTCTCGAAGCTTCTTGAACTCATCCACATCTCCTCTCCGAACCAGCATGAAATGTTCTAAGTCAGATTTATGCTTGACAGCCTCCAGAAAAAGGGCTTGGAAAGTGGTGTCATCCACAGTCCAGCCACAACCCAGGAAAAGAAACGACTTGTTTTCATAGAGTTTCTGAATCTCCCTCTTGTAGGAAAAGAAACAACACGTTAATGACACCAAGACACCATGAAGATGTGTCTGAAACAAAAAAGTCAACAGGGTCATAACTGCTACATTTAGCAGACCAGGATGACCGATTTAACTGCTACATTTAGCAGACCAGGATGACCGATTAACCCAGATTTAAGGGGCAGATACGTCCTGCGAAGGAGTCTCATCTCCTTGTTACTACAACTTGACGACTACTCTAAAACTGTCTCTTTACCTGGCCTTCTCCTGCAGGCTCTCTAGACAGGGTTCACGGATCTACGTATAGTTTATTTTTCGGATCTATGTGCCCAGAGGCCATAAGGCAATGAGTAGTCTTCAGTATATCTCACTCTTGCCATTTTCGGGATCATATCTGCCTTTTTTGATTTACAGACTGAGCCACGGATCACCAGAGATAATTCTATCACCAGATTTGCTCAAAGAAAGTCTGACACTTAGAACATCCATATGTAAGTGTGTATGTATGTATATATGTATGTGTGTCTATACATATACACATGCATACACACACACACACATACAAACATAAAAACACTGGAAATGATTTTGCTTAAGGGATTACTCAATGTCTGTAACAGATGCAGTTGAAACAGATGTCAGAGCAAAGAACAGGTCAAAAGTAGTCCCCTTATGCTTTAGAAAACATCACATTTTCTTGGTCTTTTTTCACCAAAACTCCTTCATTTTATCACCCTATCCAAACTGTTTTCAATTTTTTCCACTGAGCAATAAATGTGAATAAATGTGATGATTCAATATAAGCCCGCCACCATTTATACAAAATCTCTTTAGAATGTGGGCACCAGTAGTGACTGGACGGACAGTGAAAAGCTGCATAAATCAGTTTCAGCACAGAGAGGGTGATTAACACTATGAAGTACCAAACAACGAAGAAGGTGATATATTCTTTATGAAGCTGATGCCAATTAGATTGCCCTCTGCTGGCTGTCAATCAAGAACAAAGTAAAACCCTGACACCTGAAGAGGCTCGACCTCTCCTAAGATGGCATGCACACCCACAAGCTGAGCAGCACAGGAAAGAAGGCTTGACCTTCCCATTTTAATTAATG